GCCCCCGCCGGCTGTTGGCCCGACCTCCGGCCCCACACTTAAGGCCACCCCGGTCCCACCAGTGGTGGGTGTGGCCCCGGGGGGGGTCCGGGTTGGGGCACAAAACCCCATTTTTGGGGTTTAGCCCATCCAGTGCAGGCTGTCGCTGCGCACTCCTTTTTCTTTTTTTTTCTTTTTTTTTTTTCTTTTTTCGGGGGTGTGTGTGTGTCCGGAGCCGGGGCCGGGGGTGCCCACCCCCGCACACCCGGACCCCCGCCGGGGCCCCTGGGCCGGGGCTCCACAACGCTGCCCATAACCTTACGATAGCTTAGGCCTAGTTAATAGATTTAAACCACCAGACTCACCAGTACATGGGCACCTGGGCCGCGGGTCTGACACCTCAAATTCTGGAGGTGTGAAGCGAAAACGGGGCCGCCGATCGAATTTATCAACGGCGGGCCCAGCGTTTGATGTTTCGGGCTCGTTTTCTTGTGGCGACAAGTTTCCGACTGCAAGGCTGGGGCCGTGTACTCGTGGTTTAAGGTTGGTCCCCTTAATAGAGTAGTTGCTGTAGCCCTAGACCCTAGCCTTAGATTCTAGTGTTTGAGCCTAGATCCCCTTGGTGTGTGGATGGGCTCTTGTTTGTCCGGGGTAGGTAAGCGAGGTAAAAATATGGCTGAGACTTTGAGATAAGTCCTTACCTGACCAGGACTGACGCGACACCCCACAACTCGTCACACATGTGAGAGAGGAGGAGGGACCAGACACAAACGAAAGGTCCCTCCTTTGTACACGCACATGGGGAGATACCGGATGAGAGATGGGGGGAGACGAGAGACAAAGATGGAGGCGAGAGGGAAGACCAAGATCGCAATAGCGAAGTCCAAAAATAGTCCCTTGCCAATGTCCAATCGATGTCTTTTCGAATCAGATCCTGGGCGCTCTGCCCACAGTAACCTCTGCTTGTACCCTCCGCTTGTAACCTCTCACACTCTCTCTCGTATCTGATGATGATGATGAAGAAGGAAGGAGGAGGAAGGAGGGAGACAAGAGGGAGGCCGGCGAAGAAGAAGAAGATGTTGTCTTCGTTGCGGTTTCACCTGCAGGTGCTACCGTAGAACTGACCGTCGTCCTGTTGTCGCCGTGTGCAGATCGCGGGCGCACAGGGAGCCCAAGCTATGGCGCCAGGTAAGTCCCCTAACGCAGGTACGGCATCCACCCCTCTGCCTTCCGGTGTTCAGCCTCCAACACGTCCACACCACCCACCCACTGGTTGGGGATGGTCGTACGCACCTTCCGTAGGAGCCCCTTTGCTAAACCAGTACCCGATTGTGAGATGGAGGCACGTGTCTCTATCGGCATCGATATCATAATGGCGGACATCGTGGTTCGTGACCCCATGCGTAAGACCGAAGTTCCTGCCGTAGTCCTTCCAGTGCCGGTGTCGCATCTCGTAGAAGATGAAGCAGTGAACCAGAACATGCTCCCTTAACGCCATGTCAACCTCCATATCCGCCGCAAACCAGCAACGAAGACTACAAAGGTAATCCCCCCTTCGAGCACCCCTTTCCAACGCGCCCCTTCTAGACAATATCCCCCCTCCAACCCTTCACTCCCCCCACCGTGCACACCGCACTTCAAGATTTTGTTCCACCCTTCGGAGTCGATGCCCGCATCTCGCATAACAGATGATCCCGACCGCCGAACACCCGCACGCAGCAAGGTGGTAATGATAGTGGTGTCACTGCTGCCGGTCGGCGTCGTCCGCGTCTTTATACGTGAGAACCGCCGGAATTTCGTCATCCACGTCTGCCAATGCCGCCGTATGCGCCATACGATGGCCTAGTCCCATCGAAGGATGACTGCATCACATCCCTTGCGCAGGGCCGTACCTACCATGTCAGCGAAGAATAATAAAACAGGAGGCGGGCCTGAAAAACTGGCACAGAC